TAACGAGGCAAATTACTGGCGAATAATGTAATAAATCGATAAGTTCTTACGCCGTGCACTCTACAGTTAACTAGGGCCAAGATAGAATTAGTATTCTTCGATAAGTTCTCGAAACTCTTTGAGAATAATTTATCTTGCTTCACGTAGAGGGAACAAATATCTCTTTTCCTTCGTACTGATTATCTGAGATACTGGTTACATTTATAGCTCTCGCTCGTTACTTCAATTAGTAAGAATTAGTAAGAATTAGATCTTCCTCGACTGTGAACTCTATTGCGGCACAAGCAGTTTTTATTCAGAATTTGCCCTTCTAATTTCTTACGGAAATATTCTTCGTCAGACGAAATGTTTAATCCCCTGAGAACTAGAACGTTTAAATTTAGCATCTCGCCAAATAAGCCATTTTGTGTCTACAAATGTGGCTACAAAACTCATACTTTCTCTCTCGCGTATCTTAGAAGGAAAATAATAAAAAAATTAAGCCTATCTCCATTTTTGTTAAGATTATTCTGAAATCGTGTCTTCTAGATAGCTCTTAATGTCCTTCTCAGCATTAAATGCTATCACTTTTTTTTCATTATTTTATTAATTTAAAATATTAAATTTACTCACGCATAAGAAAATTCCATCTTGTAAAGTTTCAAAAATGGACCTAGCGTTTTTTGCGTATGTGACTCGAATATCTAGTTCTCTATATGTTGCGGCATCTCTTCAATCTCGAAATATTCACGATTGAATATTTATGAAGTAACCGAACAGATGAACGGCGAAAAAAATTTCACAGAGCTTCCGTTCCGCACGCATTAATTACTATCGACGAAAAACAGAGGCATCCGGTAACACGACCATTTGGCACGACTCGCGTCCCGCCGTTATTTGCTAACCGGTAAAAACTGCGCTCCGACATAGCGATGCGCTGCAACACAACGTTGTTGCATAAATCGTGATTAACCTTCGTGAGGGCTGCAATCCGTTGCAAGTGCAAGACAACCCTGCGTTTGTTTTATGATCGTGATATATTGCGAGCAAGTATTGTCTGGAAATCATATCACTCAATTTTTAATTTCGATTCCAAATTCAATTTCAAAAATACCCAATTTTGATAACATGATGGATTTTTTCAGGAAATAGATTACCATTCATCCGAAAATATATTTAATAAATTAATAAATATATAAGAAAAATAAAGAGAAAAATAAAGAAATGACTTAAATAGCACCTCGATCTTGCATTACTAACAAACTTACCAAGAAAAAATTACGTGGATAAATTAATTTTATTTATTATAAATTTTATAAAATAGATTATAGAAAAAAGGCGCGTGATTTAATTTCGATGAGATGCAAAGAAATATATTTTGTTAATTTAATAATCATTAGTTCAAGTCCAACTAATTGCGCCGAGGGTTACACCTGTTGCTGATGTAACAATCTCCGCAATTGAATCTTTTCATTACGTATATTGCTGTACTTCACGGCGTGCGTCCTTGCAAAATGGACACATGGACGAGTCGGCGGTTCATTTTCGAGAGTAGTATTGATCCTACCGTTACAAGAACAAACTGGATCAATTATTCCTGTCCTGTTCTCAATAATTCAGCGATGTTAGGCCGAGGCACGAACAAGCACCAGCAACAATTGCGGAATATATTTTGTTCATTTTTTCAACATTTTATATAATTTGCTTTTTTCTCATACTTAATTTTTTTTTATTCTGGATATGAAAGAAAAATTTTTTTGTCACTTTTAGCTTATATCTAATAATTAATAGTCTATTACGTATTTATGCGTAAAACTTTATTTTTCTCTTTGGTTATACATAATTGACATTAAAATTTATAATTTGCAATTCATTAAAATTTATTTGAAAATAATAATAAATATAGTTTAAATACATACATATCAATTTAATCAACAATTTGATTGGAAATGCAAGATTAGTCAGACAATTAACCAACAAGTGAGAAATCATGAAAAGCCGATACATAATCGTGTTTGGCTTTTTTCATTCAAAAATATCTCAGAGAGAAAAACAAGCACACACTTATCTTCTTAAGTTTGACGATTTCGTTGGGGTTGGCATCATAATTATTTTTTACAAATTTCTATTCCAGGTCGGCGCCGCTTTGTCGGTCGCCGGCAGAAACGGCCGAAGTAAAGGAGAAGGAAAGGTCTCGTAAAGCAGGATAAGAGAGCGCTGGAAGTAGCTGATAAAATTGGCAGACGCTACTCCATGCTCGCTCTCCGTATTATATTCGATTCTCCGGATACATAAAATCGAACAATCTCGACGCGAACTTTTTCCTTCGAGTCGTTTTCTCGTTCAGCTAAATGTCGTATGTCGGCCACGTGACAAATCGCGAAACTTTATCTGTTATCGTTATCTTATGCACAAAGTGTTTCCGAACGTCATGAAAAAAAGTTTCTTCACAAATGTCTCGATTAATTTGTAATCTCTCTCTCTCTCTCTCTCTCTCTCTCTCTCTCTCTCAAATATTCTATGAACGGATGATTTATGATTTCGAATTCTCTCGTGGATGCTTTAAATCGCGATTCAAATTCGCGAGAAAATATGTAGCGAAATCAGAATCGCATTTTCATTTTCTCTTCACAAAAGTGTAAATATACAAGTACATATATACTTCATTTGCGGTTTACTTGCGATCTTTTCGTGCTGTAACGGGAAAGTGCAAAAACATATGTCTCTATTAATTTGTATTCTCTCTCTCTCTCTCTCTCTCTCTCTCTCTCTCTCTCTCTCTCTCTCTCAAATATCTTGAAATGTCAATTGTTTGTGAGCTTCGATACTTATAAGTATACAATTGCTAGATATTTGATTTTAAATTTTTATATAATTTGTTTAAACTTAAAAAAAAAATAATACTTGCACACATGAAAGTAGAGAATATATTTGATCAGTTATTATATATGAACTGTTACAGTTATCTCTGACACAGTATTAGATTTATCAATATGAAACTTGCTTCATGTAATATCAAATAAATCTTTTGCGAAGAGATCTGCTTTTCAGTCACGATATTTTACGCTGCTCGATTGTATTTGTTAAAGGAAAAATAGAGCGTATATCGACCATCTCAAAAAGATCTCGAGTACTCTTCACAGGTTTTCGAGAGACATCCCAAATTCAGCTACGATCGATCGAGAATAGACTCCTCCTTATGTTGTGCAAATTCAGCATCGAGCTTTTTTTAGAACGACATGAGTGAATTTGTAGCGCTCAGTTGAATCACTAATATCCAATTAGAAAATTATTCTGATTTACATTGATGTCATATTTTTTCAGAAATTATTTAATATTATCAATATTTAAATTTTTTATTATTAATTCTAAATATTATATCTGTAAAATATTGATAAATATTTGAAAAGTTATAAAATTTGTTGAAACATTTTTTATAGAGAATATTATAATGTAAGAAAATGTAAAAAATATATCCAAAGTAGGAATATATATAATTATTTTAATGAATTTAGAATTAATTTTAATAAAATTAATAAAAAGTGTTTCTCTAGAAGATTTTAGAACCTTATTACTCTTCGTGCACATACACACACATCTTGCCAATTCTTAAAATATTGATTAATCTTTTACTAAAAACGGTTTATCATAGAAATAATAAATATATAGGTTTAATTTTTTTTTCATTTTTTGAATCAGATGCGATTTTACGAGCATAGCAATTTCGTCATCGGCGCTATTGCATGCAGTTGGTGCATTATACGAAAGCGAGGATGCAACGACGAGAGATTCTTGCCGTGAATTATTGCATTATCGTGTGCCTTGATTGCACTCACTTACTCCAGTTCTCTCTCTCTCTCTCTCTCTCTTTCTCTCTTTCTCTCTACCACGCGAGAGAAGAGCTAGCACGCATACAGGGTATATGTCGCAAAAGTCTCGACTAATGCACTTAATTGAAGCCGGAGCCACGTTACATATCTCCGTCCGTCATTAACAAGATCTTTTATGCAATCTCTCTGAGGCATCGCCCGCCTGCATGACGTGAATAATTTTGCCAAAATTTTCTGCACACTTTATACATTTTGGTGATCCGCAATATGTTGTGCATTTAGAAGGAGAATTTCAAAAACCTCGTCAAAATATACACATATGTAATAAAAAAAAAAAATATATATATGTATATCTCAATTGTAATAAATTTTAAAAAATAATATTTTTGAAACTAATATTTATGTAAAAATAAAATTAATAGAACAAAAACTTGTTGTTGTGTCTTTATACATTATGTTATATATTCCGTGCTAAATATGACCGTTTAATTTCGAGATATTTATCTAATATAGGCTAACGATTATATTATATAAATGATATATACATATAAATGACAGACATAAATTATATAAATATGGCTGTTAATTAATATCTAATCTGTGCTCCCTTTTGAAGAAATAATAAAATAAATAGCGATCACTTCTTTTAAGAATTCTTCTAATCAAGCTATTAATTGACTATTGAAGCATGTTATGTCATATTTATGAAGATATAAAAGTAAGGCTCTTACACGATTAAAATCAAGTAAAATCCGAGTAAAAAGGCAAAAGAGCCACGCGCAGTTTTTAGGGCGCAAAGGTATATAATTTAAACCAAAAAATAAATTAAAAAATTAGAGAATTTCTTTAATTACATGATTCGCGAAAGGCATATTTATGTATTATCGTGGTTTTAATTATCTCACTGGCTTTTTCGTAAAGTTAGCCAGCTTGTGAAATTAATTATTATTCTTTGACGCATTTTTTAATATTATTAATTAGCAGAGATTATTATAAAGCTATAATATAGATTATTGATAAGTTATAATAATATAATAGCTAGCAATTCATTAATAAAAATTATATAATAGCTATCAATTCATTGATAAAATATAATTAACTCATTTATAAACCATAGACCATGGTCTCTTAAAAATTCCGATCGGACTTCAACGTGCAACTAGTCATTAACCCTTTTCATCTCCTTTTCAGGTTGGCAGCAGCGCAAGAGGCGGCACAAAGGGACCCTGGATACGCGAGTCAGTACTACGGGAGAAGGTCGAGGTTGGCCGGACTGAGGAGTGGTCTCGGTGACTGGACTAGCTTCGGAGGGGAGGTAAGATGTCATTAAATTGTGTAACAGTTAAAAATTGAGAGATTTGGAAAAACTTTAAATATATTTAAGGTAGATAAATATATATTACTACATTTATCGTTACATTTAATTATTAGAAAATTACTCCGATAAATAGAATTAATTAGGTTACCATGAAATAAACAGGTGTAGGTCAAACATGTACGAATAAATAATTTATACATAATTTTTCAAGATCTCTATTTGCTTCATCGTTGTTCCATTTTTCGAGTTCTCTATACGAATAACTGAGATGAATAAGAGTTTTGTACTTACTTCAACCTTAAAAGCTTATTGTGTTTTCGAAAAAAAATATCATTTTCCGAGCGTGATATCGGCGTTCTTTAGGTACCTGGTCTGGTAGACATGGCACCAGGCCGGGATCAGGGCGGAGGGGCGGGTGGCGGTGGGGGAGGCGGCAAGGGCACCACGTCGTTGTTTATCCTGTCGGAGGATAACTGTATACGGAAGCATACGCGCTTCATCATCGAGTGGCCGCCCTTCGAATACGCCGTCCTGCTCACCATCATCGCCAATTGCGTAGTCCTTGCCCTCGAGGAGCATCTGCCGAGTTCTGACAAGACCATACTCGCACAAAAACTCGAGTCCACGGAGATCTATTTCCTCGGGATTTTCTGTGTCGAGGCGACCCTCAAGATCCTCGCTCTCGGCTTCGTCCTCCACCGCGGCTCCTACCTGCGCAACATCTGGAACATCATGGACTTCTTCGTCGTGGTGACCGGGTAAGAGTCGAGAGCTTCTTTGTCAGCAAAATCCTCCTTTTCGTTTCCTTTCATTATTCCCTCTCTGTATTCCTGTAACTCTGTATTCCTGATTAACTTTCTCCAACAATGATTTTTAAATTTAATTTACTCACATATCCTTGGAAAAAGAGTTTCCTGAGATTATTAATTCTTTTATTAATTATTAGATCCGATACGAGCAAAATAATATTATGTGATATTTATATGAAAAAATAAACAATTTTATGTTTAAGCTCAGCATACACACACATATGTATATTTTTCTATATACATTTACATCTCTTACATAAATAGGACAAATCATTAATATTGATCATTCTCAATACAGACAAATATTGTTTTGTCCATTAATTAATTTGCGATCAAAGCGAGCGACAAAATAAACCTCTTT